GGGCTGGAGAGATGGCTCAGAGGTTAAGAGCACTGACTGCTCTTCCAGAGGTCCTGAGTTCAAGTTCCAGCAACCACATGGTGGCTCACAACCATCTGTAATGATATCTGGTGCCCTCTTCTGGCATGCGAGCATACATAGAAGGAATATTGTATACATAATAAATAAAAAAAAATCTGAAATAACTTGGGAAAAGATTCTAAACACCCAAAAAGCATAGTCAAACACAGCTTCTTTGTAACTGCCTTTTTTGGTGGGCTGTGTTTGATAGCAGTGACCAGAGGCTTGTCCCCTTTAACAGAAGGCTTCCTGTCTCAGCATTGGTGACAGATAAGGCAGCTCTTTTAAGAGATCCTAATTTGGTGCTTATGTGTCCTCTTTCTCCGCCTGACCTGAGGGCCCAGGCTATGATCCTGCTGGCTGCTCTCCCTGTATTTCTGTAATTGAAAGAATGTGTGGAGCCTGATTTGATTCTCTAAGACAGACTCTCTCTGGTGTGAAGGCCATTAATTTACAAGTGGCTGCTCTCCCTCTCTGGTCTTTTGTTCAATATGGCTGCCTCTTGAATAGTTTCTGGGCACCATTATGGGGAATTACCTTCAAATCCTTTCCAGAAATGTCTTTTCTTAGTCAGTACACCGATCTATTTGGTTACATTCAGTATAACCTATTAAAATTTACCACAAAGTTCTGGGGCCAAAGATAGGATTGCTGACTTCTACTGTGGAATAGTATTTCTTTTTTTCTTTTTTTTTAAATATTTATTTATTATGTATACAATATTCTGTCTGTATGCCTGAAGGCCAGAAGAGGGTGCCAGACCTCTTTACAGATGGTTGTGAGCCACCATGTGGTTGCTGGGAATTGAACTCAGGACCTTTGGAAGAGCAGGCAATGCTCTTAACCGCTGAGCCATCTCTCCAGCCCCTGGAATAGTATTTCTTGCACTTCTAATTTTGTGTCCAATTTATTGATAGTTCAAAATGATGAGTTAGTTAAATGCATGATGGATAAATAGTCTATAAATAAAAGAAAGGATAAAAGAAATTTTTGATGTGTCAGCCTACAAAAGTGATTTCTTTACTGACACCACGAGGTGGTGCCACCAATAAATGAAAACAATGTGGCTGTTCAGACTGGCCAATTATAAACCACCTATAACCTAGTGTGGCACATGAATAAATACGTGCATATATCCAAGAATATGTGCACATGAAAGAAATGATGTCACTGGTCTTCACAATGTGACATAAAGTGTACTTGTGCAGATAAAGACCTTAATTAAATTGAGGCAAGGGATTGAAGTAAGACAGCAAGATCTCCCAAAGGCTTACAAATCAGTTGGTAGTCTGAAATGACTGCATAAGAAAGCTTCCTTTGGAGTACTGCAGATGATTTAAAAGCAATCAGCTGGAACTTATTTGTTTCTTAAACATGCACCACCGGCAAATGTAATATCTTTGTACAAGTTCAGCAATGTGAGGGTTAAATCATGTCGGAACCAAACCCAAGGCCATTTTCTTGTGTTATCTTCTACTTGTTTGAATTGTGGAATATTATAGAGGTCACTGTTCATTTAATTCCAAAAGAATACTCTTGCTTCCCTCTAAGGAGAAATACTATTTGAGTAACTATTTAAATAATATAAAAGCATGTGTAATGGTATTATGTATTGCTAGGCTAATTATATTTTAATCATTTATTAACTGATACATTAAAATATTAATTATTTAAACAGTATACAAAGCATAAATGAAAGGATTACTGTTTAAGGTGGGTTATTTCAACAAAAGAAAACAAAGACTCAATGTATAAGATTAGCATATTTTTGTCAAACTATAATTATTGTCATTATTTAAATTCAAACAAAACAGACATTCTGTTTCTTAACTTTGTTTTTACTTCTTGTATAGTATAAATCACTGGCAAAAATTTCTCAAACTAACAAAATTAAGCAATTTCCTGCATTTTTACATTACAATAGCACATTTGCAGCTCATCTTTATAACAAACATTTCTACAAAAATCTTGATACTTTTGTTCTCCACATACTGACTAAATGAACATTAGAAAACTATTTAAAAGTGATTGCCGCAGCTAGATTTATTTTTTTCTGCCCCTCATTTTTCATTGCTGAAGCTCTCACTTCCATCTGATTTATGAGACTGCACTAGTTGATTAAAAGCAGATGGAAGAAATAGGTGGTTTGACATAGCCTAAGCTGTAATTACATTTTGTTTTATGATGAACGCAATACAGACTGTGACAGTACTTTAGGAGTGCCTGAGCTTTTTGACCATTGTTGTCATCATTCATTTTGGTTTAGCACAGTGACCTCATGCACAGCACTGTTCCTCTATATGCGAACATTTAGGTCATTTGTACATTTAAGCCACCACAGAAATACCTGCCATAAACATGAGAAGTATAGGAATACTTCTTCATTCTAATTTCAATAATATGCATAATATGCTGAGGAGATTGCTGTGATCTACAGTAATTTATGTCATTTTATGAGTACTCTGTATATTATGAAGACACATAAACACAGGAATATAAAGAGAATGTCTAGGCATTACAAGTCACTGTGTTTCCTATGGTAAAGGTGCTGGCCATGGGGGTGTATGTCCAAAAGCTCCAGAATACACACACTAAATATGTGTAATTTTCATCAACTCTAACAATACAACATGATGTCACTTAATTTTAGTTGATATCTGTGGGAAATCCCAACCTCCTGCTATCAGAGTCTATTTCCCATGATATTACACAATCTCATGTCACATTCAGATTCATTGTTAAATTGTGGAACGTGCATTATTTTCACTGTTTGTTTTCTCCATTACATAATACTGAGTGTAGAATCTTTTAGATGAAAATAAGAATGTATTCTTTGTCACTATCTTATACTGCAGTCTTCGTTCTATGTCTCTTTACACTATTTTCCAAATCCACACGCAAGAATGTTTAGAGTCCAGGGTGCATGATCAGCACATGAATGAACAGAACCACACTGTCTTATGAGCCATCAAACTCCCAGATCTGGCAGCTCAGCCAACCTGCTTTTCCTGTTCAGAAGGCAATGCACCACTACTTACCATGGCATGACTTACGGTCTCCCTCACATTTCCCCCAGAGCATCATAACTAGAGCACCATAAGAGGAGAAAGCAAGAATACCAAAATCTACTTCCCAATGGTGCCTCTTACAATCACCCTTCTGGGCCTCAGGAAAATAGCAGCTCCCCTACTAGATGAGCAGAGATCAAATGATTAGACTGCACAGGCTTTCCAGCTATGGCCTTAGACCCTAGGGGAAGACAGGAGTCTCATCAAGAAAGTTTGTATTTTAGTAGAAACTCTTGTCAGTCTCTCAGTGCACTTCCTGTTATTTTTCAAGATACAGTGTTCCTTGTGTGCATAATCTACTACACACTCAATGTTCAGTGCAGAATATCCTCTGCATAGTAACTCCTAAATCCTGATGCCAAACAAAGGTCATATTTAAACAGTAACTTCTGTTAAAGCAAAAAGAGGCCATGAATTAGAAAACAATGAAGAAGCTATGGAAGGGCTTAGAAGAAGGATGAAGCAGAGGGAAACTAAGCAATTGTTATCTCCAAAAACTTATTTTAAAAAGTTGAAATAGGGGGGCTGGAGAGATGGCTCAGTGGTTAAGAGCATTGCCTGCTCTTCCAAAGGTCCTGAGTTCAATTCCCGGCAACCACATGGTGGCTCACAACCATTTGTAATGAGGTCTGATGCCCTCTTCTGGCCAGCAGACATAAACACAGACAGAATATTGTATACATAGCAAATAAATAAATAAATATTTTTTAAAAAAAAAGTTGAAATAGGTTTTATGGCCATGTGCCCTAGAGTTGAAAGATTCATATTAGAGCACAAGTTTTAGCCATACATTTTCTCTCAAAATGTTCATCTTAAACCTGTAATATAAGAGTTCTTTTAGGCAGGCTCACAGCATTTTATCCAGGTCTATTTTGTTCACACTAGTGGACCTTCTGAAATTTGGTTCCATAATAAGTTCCATTCTTTACCTAAACTCTCAAGTCCCTGGTCTGTGTAATCTAGAAATGACAAGTCAGAACATTTATCAATTACAATATATTTTGTGTTTGTTCTAATAAATAAAGCTTGCCTGGAGATTAGAGGCTGGAGGTAACCACTATTGGATGACAGGATCTGACAGAAAGTGGCTCATGCTATTAATTCTAGCATTTGGGAGATAAAGACAGGAATATAAGGTGGGTGGAGACAGGATCTCATCCCCCATTTGGTCTGATGATTTGGAGAGGTAGAAAGTGAATTTGACTGCTGGTTGCTTCTCTCTTCTGACAGCTGTTCCCCAATATCTTCTCTGGGATTTTATTAACAATACTAATTAGGGCCATGCATCAAGCAATCATCTTAACTACTTATTTCTAAAGTGTACTACTTTCAAAAGATGGAAATATTTGTGCTCCTTTCTGTCTATAACTTTTTGTGCTTGGACTGCACATGGTTTAAAGTTGACCTTTAAATTCAGTTCTTACACAAGGGGGCACTCATTTACTGGTATATATTTTTTTCTAACTGACCAGATGAGGCACAGTGTTGAAGCAGTTGAAGGACTTTCTATCCGGTGCTGGGGAGCAGAAGGATAGTGAGTTCAATAAAATTCTCAACTGCATAGTGTAAGGCAAGCCTACTCTACAGGAGGCATTGCTCTAAACAGAAATAAATAATCAACATAACTTGTAAACACAAGAAAGAAATTCTTAATGACCTGGAAACAATGGGGGACAGAAAGAAATAAGAGATTAGAGCAAGGATAAATTTAAAGGAATTCAAATTTAAAAATTAAAACTCACAATTGTTTTTTTAAAAAAATATATAATTAAAAAAACATAGCTCTATTGACTTTCCAAAAGTTAAAATAATCCCTGCACTGAGGGAACGGCAGTAATAAGCTATTACTTCAGCCTGTGCTCATGTGTACCGTCAGCTGCTGAGACCTGTCAGCTGACACATGCAGTTACAGCGAATGGATGGAACAATGACAGCAAGGTTGAACACATCTGTATGAGAGTTCCTTCTTGCAAATTCCATATTCTTTGGCTCAATAAATCTTCCCACAATGTATACAGAAATCTGGCCTGACTTCATTGACATGCCGTGGATCAATACATGCTGGAAAATAACAAAATCACATATCCATCATAATCATGTCTTCTTTCATAATGGTGACTCCACAACTGTTTGACTTCAGTGTTTCCCCTATAGTGTACACAGTAAACTATTCCACCTATTATGGTATGAAGGCAAAAATCATGCTCCACACACAAATCCTTTTTCTATTACTGAAATGGAAAGTTGACCATATGACTCAAATTTTTAATTGTATGACTAAGTGGTGAATGAGTTGTTTAATCTAAAAATTTAGTTGGTTTAATCATGAGAACAAGGTCATTCCCCTGGGGAACAATGGAGTGGGATCAAGGGAACTTGATCCAAAATAAGAACTTTTGATTCAGAAACATTATTCTACAAACTGGAGATACTTATTTTCTAAAATTAATGCACCTTCCTCTGGATAAATTATTCCACAAAATTAAGTTTAATAAAAAAAATCTCTTTAAAAACTGCATGCACCTGGGGTGGTTAATTTTTAAAAGAGGAGCCAGCCTGGAAAAAAAATTTTGCATACCATATAAAATGTCATTTTTAAGTCTCTTTTGTGTTCAGACCCAAGGTTATACTCTGAACAATTTAAAAAGGAACAAGAGGACCTAGGCAGTGGTTGCACATGCCTTTACTCCCAGCACTTTGGAAGCAGAGGCAGGTGGATCTCTGTGACTTCAAGGCCAGCCTGGTCTATAAGAGCTAGATCAGGACAGGATCTAAAGCTACAGAGAAATCCTGTCTTGAAAAACAAAACAAAACAGAAAACTAACAACAACAACAAAGAAAAAGGCACATCTAACCACTTAGGCAGATGGAGATTTACAGAGCAAAACTATCTTTTTGATCATGCATAATGATCAGAAATTCTAAAAGAACCAAGTCTAAGTTAGATTCTGGGACTATCAATCTTTAGTTCTTCTGGGTCATGAAGGGTGATGAAAAGATAAACTTATTATATCAGCCTTTCCCACCTCACTATTATTAATGACATGCTCATGAGGCTGAAGACTCAGCATTTAGAACACTGGATACTCATCCACAGGGCCTAACATTGATACTACGTACCCACAGCTGTCTGTAATTCCAGACAGAGCATTAGACACCACCTTTTTATCACCACTGGTACCTGGGTTGTGGGGCTATAAACCAAACTCGGGTACCCAAGAGGAGCAGTACTTTGAGACAACTGTCCAGTTACCACATATGTCATTATAATGTGGAAGGTGAAGGTGTCCCACTGTTCCTTCTGTGTCTTAGCACATAAATGCCCTCCAGATGGTTGTCAAAAGATTCAATGGATTGAATGTGAATGGAATATCTATAATGCTTATGTTATTGTTATCAGTTTTTTTTATGTGAGTAAAGATACTAAAAAGTTGGTTGAAATCAGTCTGAGTCCAGCCAGATTTTATTAGCAAAAGGTTATATTATTTGAGATAGGCTCTTTCTTTTAGAATTTTTGAGACAGGATACTTCCTCATAGCCATGGATGGCATGAATTTATTATGGGGAAGAAGCTGGCCTCACTATGATCAGGCCCACCAACACTCTGGTGTGCTATAATTATAGCCATACACCTGTAAGTCCAGTTGAAATATGTGTTTCTAAAGGACTTATCATTGAGTCAGAGAAAAAAATAATAAAATAAGATTTAAAAAGGAGCATCATTGTTTTGATGGATAGTAACTTTTCACAAAATTCTATAATTTAAATGACCAAATCATTTCATATGTTCTCAATAACAGGTTATTTTCTTTGCATTGTTAATTACACCCATTTATAAATGTTTGAAGTGTGACTGTGTGAATACACCCGTGCCATGATGTGTATGTAGCACTGACAGGAAAACCAACAGGGGTCTATGATCTACTTCTGCTTTGTGAGTTCTCGTGATTAAACCTTTGGAGTTATTTGACTGCACATGACCTCAATGGCACTTCTTGTGAAGTGAAGAAATATGAGAAAATTTGTTGAAGTATGGTGCATAACGCAGAGATAGAACCCAGGTCAGACATAGCAGCAATGAACTTTACTAAATGTGGCAATTTTCTGGTGTATAATTTTGGTTCTAAGAGTGTTATAAATAAATGCATAGTCCTCAAAACGAACAAATTTGCTTGTTGTAATATTTCCTCAAATTGAAATTGAGCACCACTGAAATGGCTCAGGGGGAAAGGACTGTTGTGTGTAAGACTAGAAACCTATCCTCAATTTCTATAGAACATCAAGCTGTGGTATTAGATACACAGTTGTTTGCTGATTCTCATACATTAGTACATCCATATCAGATAAATGAAAATCTTTTAATACACACATGAATTATTTAATGTTTCTTATAATTTCTTTTGTTAGTCATTTTAACATATACATTGTTAAATTCTCTTGAAAACCCAGCACATTGGAAGTTCATCATCTACCCCTGGACTAGTACTCAAGCAGAAGACAAATGAGCATCCTGAGTTCAAATGTATCCCTGAGTCATTACTGACATCCAAGGTAAGATGAACAACAAATAACAAAATCTCAAGGGAATTTGTGAAAAGATGAAAATCAAAACCAGAAACACAAACCACCACCCTTATGAGTAAATCATGATCAAACATGGCCTGGTATTTAAATAACCAATGGGAAAAATTATATGATGGAGGCTCCATTATATACATTACAGTAGAAAAATACCTATCACTAGGTACAGACAGAATAGAAGATAAACTAAAGTCATAGAAGTAATATAAGGTCTACAAAATAAACTTCACTAATGGATTTGCCACATATACAGCACACGTTAGTGACTCCCTCAAATACTTTAAAATAGAAACCACAATACAATGATCTCCTCCATCTGTCTTGACTGAACGTGGTATGTAATTTACTTCTTTCAATGCTATGATAAAAAATATTTTTTCATGAAGCTGAAGAAATCGGTGATGTTTAATGTCATTAAAATTTTTTCATGAATAGGAATTTCTTCATGACTTCTTTCCTATTGCAGACTTAAAAGTGTTCTAAATAGAATTTAAACATTTATAGCACTAAGTCATGGTGAGGTGACTAAGAAATATTCATTCCCAAGACTAAGATCAGATTTTTAAAAGTTTGCTGTAATTCCTGGTATAAGAAGACCCAAAGTCTTAATTTTTTTTTTTTCGAGACAGGGTTTCTCTGTGGTTTTGGAGCCTATCCTGGAACTAGCTCTTGTAGACCAGGCTGGTCTTGAACTCACAGAGATTCGCCTGCCTCTGCCTCCCAAGTGCTGGGATTAAAGGCGTGCGCCACCACCACCCGGCCCAAAGTCTTAATTTTCTAAAGATACAAAATATCAATCCAAAAATTCTCTCTCTCATTCTCTCTCTCTCTCTCTCTCTCTCTCTCTCTCTCTCACACACACACACACACACACACACACACACACACCCCACATAAAAACAATTAAAATATTTTTTTATATTTTTTCGAGACAGGGTTTGTCTGTAGCTTTTTTTTTTTTGGTTCCTGTCCTGGAACTAGCTCTTCTAGACCAACCTGGCATCGAACTCACAGAGATCCGCCTGCCTCTGCCTCCCAAGTGCTGGGATTAAAGGCGTGCGCGACCATCGCCCGGCTTCATATAGGGTTTCTTAAAACCAGATCTCTTCTAAGGAGATTTTGAAGGTGGGAACTGGTCAGATTTCAATCCCTCTGCTTGAACAACCAGAGAGTTGGGCTGGATTTTGTGCTCAGAGATTGGTTGCTTTGGTGCTCATTTGAACAAGGGAAGAGTGTGTTTCTTTGGCTCTGGTTTGAGAGCCAAAGTGTGTTTCCTTCACTGGCTCTTTTTAACTTTTTGGCTCTGTTTTAGGGTGATGTTCTTATAACTAGCTCTAGATTCAGGGACAAAGTGTTTTCTCTTGGATCTCATTTCAATTACAGGGTGTGATTCTTTGACTGGCTGATTTTCCTGCCTGTAGGACTTCATAACTCCAAATAATATGTTTTTTCCATTAGTTTGCTGGTGCAAATAAACTAAAGTGTTATCATATTGAACAGATTATTGACACTATCAGCTTTTTTTCTACAGAATGAATGCTGTTAGTTATCTGACTGTAAATGTATAGGCTTAGGATCTTGAAAAACAATTTAGAATAAGCCCTCGGGTTGTTCTTCAGGTATCCAAAGGATATTGTAATTTGCAAAAGCTTTATCAGATTGATTACACACAAAAAGTTTTACTCCTGTATAAATTACAAAATATCACATTGAATTTATTCATAGAGTTTCACTGGAGTATGATTTTTGTAATGTTTTTGAAGTCTACATTCATCAAATTCACAGTTTCTATCCTGAATGGTTTAATGTATTTGGAGATTATTGTGACAAAGGATTTACCACACAGATCCAATTCATGGTTATTCTTCTGTATGTGTACATTCCTGCATTTGAAGATGAATAAGACATGAAAGGGCTTTATCACAGTGATTTCATTAATACTATTTCTTTTACTTTTAAGCCTTTGAAGATTACTGCAAAGGCATTACTACACTGAATACATCCATGGAGTTTCTCTCTTTTGTAGATTTGTTTATGTTTTTGAAGATCACTGTGCTGTGCAAAGCTCTTACCCCACTGATTACATTCAAAGAGTTCCTACCTAGGGTGAGATCTTTTATGCCTTTTAAGATTACTTAAAGCTGAAAATGCCTTACCACACTGATTACATTCATATGGTTTCTCTCCAGAATGTGTTCTTTTATGTTTTTGAAGACTACTGTGTTGGGCAAAGGCCTTACCACACTGACTACATTTACAGGGTTTATCTCCAGTATGTGTTCTTCCATGGGATTTAAGAGTATTATACCGAGCAAAGGTCTTACCACACTGATTACATTCATAGGGTTTCTCTCCAGTATGTGTTCTTTTATGGTTTTGAAGATTACTCTGATCTACAAATGTCTTACCACAATAATTACAATCATATGGTTTCTCTCCAGTATGTGATCTTTTATGTGTTTGAAGATTACTGTGTTGAGCAAAGGCCTTACCACACTGATTACATTCATAGGGTTTCTCTCCAGTATGTGTTCTTTCATGGTATTGAAGAGCAGTGTGCCATGCAAAGGCCTTACCACACTGATTACATTGATAGGGTTTCTCTCCAGTATGTGTTCTTTTATGGATTTGAACATTACTCTGACCTGCAAAGGCCTTACCACACTGATTACATTCATATGGTTTCTCTCCAGTGTGTGTTCTTCCATGGTATTGAAGACCAGTGTACCATGCAAAGGCCTTACCACACTGATTACATTGATAGGGTTTCTCTCCAGTATGTGTTCTTTTATGGATTTGAACATAACTCTGAACTGCAAAGGCCTTACCACACTGATTACATTCATAGGGTTTCTCTCCAGTGTGTGTTCTTTTATGGTTTTGAAGATGACTCTGAGCTGCAAAGGCATTCCCACACTGATTACATTCATGGGATTTCTCTCCAGTATGTGTTCTTTCATTCCATTTAAGGTGACTGGCATGTGTGAAGGCTTCAGAACATTGAATATCTACTGAAAGTTTTTCTCCAGCTTGAATTCTTTCAATCCTGCAAAGATAATTGGCACATATAAAAACTTCACCATATTCAATACGCTGTTGTGGCTACACATTTGTATGAATTAATTTTATAATATGTTCCAATTATAAAGAGGATTCAGATACTAAGTTTTTATAACTGTGTCTAAACTCATGTTTTGCTCTTTAATTAGGCACTGTTTTGCCACTTGGAAGATACCTCCAATGGTCAATTCCTTTCTTTTATGGCTTACCTTTATACCTTCACAGAATCCAGAATCTTTTTTCTATATGATAATATATATATATATATATATATATATATATATATATATATATGAAGAGAACTGGATAAACCCAGAGCTTTTATTTTCATAACTTCTCCTATACTGTGAATCATATTGCATATGCTATGTGGACTAGAACACTCAGAATTATTTGCACATTTCTAGAACTTATAGGGCTTTTTTGCAGTTTGAATTTGTTCATGTATTAACAATGAGGGTGGAAAACCAGTTACTTGTATACTTAATTAAAATTCAACAAGTATACTCAACATGGGGACTACCAGTTATCTAATTGTTCTTAGAGAGTAGTATCCTACATCTCTCCATATCCCTGTGCTAATACACTTGTATCAAGAGCAATGTATGGTATCCATAGTAAAGAAGAATTACAAATAAGAGATTTCCACATTGAATTCTCAGGGTTTGACCTGCTGTTCCTCACAATCTTGTGGTATAGATATCAAGGTTACTCGAAAACAACTGCCACTTGACTCAGCTCTAACTGCTTCTCTCACTAAAGTTAGTACAGTCACAAGAAATTACAAGTAATAAAAGATTTACTATGGGCTATTGGCTTAGTACAAAGTTTTACAGATATACTTATAATCTCTTCAATGTGTATACTTTTGTATTATGAGTAGCAAGAAAGAAATTTATTTGCAGATCTACAACAAAGCTCTCATGGTGCTATGCCTCAAAAGATGTTATCTTTTTAGCTATTGTTTTCTTGACTTCTTTCTTAAAAGAATGTCATTCAAATGCAATTCACATATATGAAATAGGGATTTGTGAGAATTTGATAAAACTGTACATGTTATCAGTATTGCTTTAAACTAAAACTTTTAAGACACATAAAAATTTCATCAGAGGCACATTGTTATCTGCTTGTATATGAAAATTACCTTTCAGGTCTTCTAGAAAATTGACAATGCTCTTCACTGTTAGGGTCTTCCCAATTACATCCTAAAATATAATGCCAGTAAATGTATGTTATATTATTGAAAATTGTGCAGTATTTAAGCTGTTATATGAAGGGACCCTTAGAACTATGTCTGCTCTATTCAACTAATTCTTATTCTTTCTAAATAAAATTACAGAAGAACATCATTAACCAAGAAAAAATTATCCCCTTATTTTGAATCATGAAGGAAATTTAGTTTCACCTATAGTAGCGAGGTTCCTGTAGGTCTCCAGCATCACATCTTTGTAGAGATTCTTCTGGGCAGGATCCAGCAAATTCCACTCTTCCTGACTGAAGCTGATATGCACATCATCATAGGTCACTGCCCTCTAAAATATTACATTCATGTGTATAAGAGAAGCATGATGGTGACAACATTGTAAATGCATACTTCTTTAACACTATAGTCATAAAATTCTGATGTTCCCCACTATTATTCCATGACAGAGACAGACACTTTTTTTTAAAAAAATATTTATTTACTTATTATGTATACAACATTCTGTCTATGTGTATGCCTGCAGGCCAGAAGAGGGCACCAGACCTCATTACAGATGGTTGTGATCCACCATGTTGTTGCTGGGAATTGAACTCAGTACCATTTGGAAGAACAGGCAATGCTCTTAACCTCTGAGCCATCTCTCCAGCTCCGAAGCAGACACTTTAGAAGGAAATTGAATAGAAGAGTCATGTCTGTTATTTTTGTACCCTTTGAATGGGATATCACCAACAAAAGAACTGTCTATTAATAAAGATAGTCAAGGAAACGGATCAACAGGAATCACGCAGAAAAATTGTATGAAGAAAATTGTATGAAGAAATACTAATTACAAAATAGAAAAAAATACGGTGGACAAACTGGGTATGTTGACTCATGCCTTTAAGCAAAACACTCATAAAGCAGAGGTGTGTAGATTTGTCTCTGAGATGAGTGCCAGCCAAGTCTATGAAATCATGTCCAGGACAGGTGGAAGTACACATTAAGACCCTGTCTCCATTGCAAAAATCAGTGAAACAGGGCTGTAAAGATGGCTTGGCAGTTTGGAGCACTGATCCTTCTTGCAGAGGTCCTGGGTTCAGTTCCCAGCAACCATATGGTGGCTCACAACCATCTGCAATGAGATCTGGTGCCCTCTTCTGGCCTGCAGGCAGACATATAGGCAGAACATTGTATATATATAATAATTAAATAAACCTTAAAAAATCAGTGAAATAAACAAATCACACAGAAAGAATTTAGAGCTGTGTACTGAAGTTCCTACAAAGAATTATACATTCACTCCAGTTCTGTGTTCATCTTCCAGACAGCTGAAGTGTCCTATTTTAAACTGCAATACCACAAACATTTTATGAAAAGGTACTTTATGTTTAAAATAATTATAAATGGAGAGATGAAAACATTAGCAATATAAATGTTGGGCATAACAAATTAACATAGTTCTGGAAATATGGCTGAGTACTACTGAGCTCTTCCTGGTCTTGAAAGAGGTGGGCACAATTGTCAGTACTTACATGGGGACCACAATTATTTATTATTCTAAGTTCAGGATTTCTGAGAAGCTTTGATCACTCTGATGACCAAGTACCCATATGGTACATATCCATGCAGACCCATAAAATAGTCAAATTGAGTGAAAAATTAAAAGCAAGCTAATCAAGCAGGAAGAAGTTCATGCACCGGCAATTCACTGACTCAGGATGCTCAGGCAGTATTAATGTCATGAATACATGGCATCCTGGGGATCAGAATGAAACCCTCTGTCAAATATAAAATTTAAGATATGTAAGAAGCTGAGCACAGCAGCATATGCTTGACATTTAAAAAGCCTACATTCAGGGTCATCATCCAACAACATAAAAACAAAGCCATGAATGAAGCCCCCCTCATTTTACTTTGAGGAATTTGGAGCCACACATCAAAGGTTACTCAGACAAGCAAACAAAACAATTAAAACTACAGGCTACAAAACTCCTTAGCCCTGAACAGCAACTGTTTCTTCTTTATTTTCTGTGATTTACAGATCAAGCCTATAATGATGATAAAAGCATTTCAGTGTAAGTGGGAAGTTGGCTGATTAATTCCAACTACAACACAGTAGACATAAAAGTCAGAAAATTAGTTAAGGATATTGAGACTCATCACATACAATGAGGAATTTCATCTTGAAAAGCCTTTTTTACTGAAGGTTTATAGGAAATTGAAAGGCCAGCAAGGAGAGAAACATGATCTTTTCTGGGAAATGTTCATTAAATTAAATGCACAGACTGGACCAAGAGAGTGACCCAGGAGAGCAGACCAAAAGAGCAGGCCAAGACAGAGGGCAAAGACACACCTCAGAGGTGTGGCTTTCTGAAACACAGAGTAGGCCAAGAACAGGTCTCAAAAACAAACTGGGTGGTGGCGCTCGCCTTTAATCCCAGGCAGAGGCAGGCGGATCTCTGTGAGTTCGAGACCAGCCTGGTCTACAAGAGCTAGTTCCAGGACAGGCTCCAAAACCACAGTAAAACCCTGTCTCAAAAAAACCAAAAAAAAAAAAAAAAGAAAGAAAGAAAATGATTTCTAGTGTAACTTTGTGAGGATGATGAGGAAATGAAAATCCCCTTAAAGAAATTGAGGAAAACATAAGCAAAAGAATGGAAGACATCAATAAATTTCTCAAAGGGGCTGGAGAGATGGCTCAGAGGTTAAGAGCATTGCCTGCTCTTCCAAAGGACCCGAGTTCGATTCCCAGCAACCACATGGTGGCTCACAACCATCTGTAATGAGGGCTGGTGTCCTCTTCTGTCCTACAGACATATATGCAAACAGAATAGTGTGTCCATAATAAATAAATAAATAAATAAATAAATAAATTTCTCAAAGAAACCCAAGAAACCAAGAAAAAAAAATCAATATTTGATTGAAACAAGCAAATCTAGACTTGAAGACTGAAATAGAAGCAATAAAGAAACCACAGACAAAGGGAATGTTGTATATGGAAAATCTGGGTAAACAAATGGGATCCACAGCGAGAAGTGTAACCAACAGAATACAAGAGATAGAAGAGAGAATCTCAGGTGCTGAAGATTCTATAGAAGAAATCGAATCATTGGTCAAAGAAAACAATAAATCCAAAAATTCCTTACACAAAACATTATTTCTGGGACACCATGAAAAATCCAAACCTAAGAATAATAGGAATAGAAGAAAGATAAGAACACTAACTCCAAAGCACAGAAAATATATGTAACAACAAAAAAAAATCATAGAAGGAAATGTTTCCAACCCAAAAAAGGATACACCTATGACGGTATAAGAAGTTTAGGGAATACCAGATAGACTGGACAAAAAAAGTACCCCCAACATATAATGATCAAAATGCAAAACAGAAAATGAAGAAAGACTATTAAGAGCTGCAAAGGATAATGGCCAAGTACAATATAAAGCAGACATATCAGAATAACACCCAAATTCTTCATGGAAACTTTGAAAGCATGAAGGCCCTGGACAGATGTGCTGAAGACACTAAGAGACCATGGACACTACTCTACCCACCAAAGCTTCCAACCAGACTACTATACCCAGCAAAGCTTTCAGCCACCATCAATGGAGAAAACAATGTATTCCATGACAAAACCAGATTTAAACAATACTTATCCTAACAAGTCCAGTCATACAGAAAGTACTAGAGGGACTTACCAAGGAAGCTAACTGTAAACACAGGCAACAGATAACCTTACATCTGCAAACACCAAAGAAGGCAAACATACAAACACTACTACTGAAACATAGCTGGAACTAGCAATCACTGGTCATTTATATCTCTTACTATCAATAGACCCAATTTGACTATAAAAAGGCACAAGCTGGGCTGGAGAGTTGGCTCAGAGGTTAAGAGCATTGCCTGCTCTTCCAAAGGTCCTGAGTTCAATTCCCAGCAACCACAGGGTGGCTCACAACCATCTGTAATGAGGTCTGGTGCCCTCTTCTGGCCTGCAGGCATACACACAGACAGAATATTGTATACATAATAAATAAATAAATATTTTTTAAAGGCACAATCTTAGAGAATGGATCCGAAAGCAAGATCCATCACTTTGCTATATAAAGAAAACAAACCTAACCCTCAAAGACAAACATTGCCTAAGAGTAAAGTGTTGGGAAAAGTTTTTCAAATCATATGGACCTAAGCAACACACAAGTATAGGTATCATAATAGTGAACAAAACAGACTGCAAAGTAAAGTCAATCAGAAAGATGGACACTTCATATTCATAACAGGAACCATGCATTAAGATAAAGTCTCAATCCTGAACATCTATGCCCCGAATATAAGAACACCCACACATGTAAAAGAAACATTCCTAAAGCTTAAAATGCACATCAAATCCCACATCTTACTAGTAGGAGACTTCAACACCCTACTCTCCCCAATGAACAGGTCAATTAAACAGAAACATAACAGAAAAATGAGACAACTAACAGATTTCTTGACCTAAATGGACTCAACAGACATCTACAGAATATTCCACCCAAGCGCAAAATATAATTTCTTCTCAGCACCTCGTAGTATCTTCTCTAAAATGGACCATGATCATGGTAACAAGGCAACCCTTGACACACACACACACACACACACAAAATTGGAATAACCCCCTGGGTTTTATCAGATCACTATGTTTTAATGTTATAATTTAACAACAACACTAATCACAAAATTGAATAGTGGAAATTGAATAGTGCTCTATTAAACTACCCCTGGGTCAAGGAAGAAATAAACATATACTACAAAAAAAAAAAGCTGTTCTCCACAAAATTGAAAAGGTTAAACACATTTGGACAGGGTTAGTCAGCAAAATAAAATCAAACCTAATGACAGCAGACAACTTATCCATCTGCTTTTGGCCAACTTTGATGAGACCTGATTTTGAAAATCGGGAGTTCCTGTCTACCACTATAATCCATCAACCTGTCCTTGAAACAGTGTCAGTTTTTCTTTTCCAATGGAGAAATTGTAGAAACTATGAACACTGTGGCTCCTGCCCCACTCACAAATCCAGGACAATTGGTGGAGTCAATGGTACCACTTCAGTTGCCACCACCATTACAACCGCAGCTCATTCAACCACAATTGTGACAGATCCTCTTGCTATTATATAAATAGAATGTGACTGCAAACGGCCTGAAATTGGACAAAAGCAAATCTAGACATGCATGTTTCAGGGTTTAGTAGTATATTTCATTTTTCATAGAGATAATCCACATTCAAAATGATGAGACATTTTCTCTTTGAACTATGTGTATTCCCTGTTAACTTACACTGCAAACCTAAAAATGTGGGAAGCATGACTGGAGAGGCCTAATTTTTATAAACAAATAATAGTTATAAAAATGCAAAGCTGCTGCTGCTGCATACAATACTATTGCAATCAGTATATCAATCCTGTGGTGATTTCTGTCATATTATATTGTGAATAAAATTGTTCTATAGAAATTAAATGATTTAAAACTCATATATAAAATGTTTAATGTTTCTGCCTGCTTTGTGGCTGGTTTTGTTATTTGATGTGCTAATTTGGGAACTTAATTCACATTCATGCAGTCTGTATAGATAACTAAAGCCCAGTTAAGTATTTTGTAATTTCAGGCTCCTATGTGGTTTGAAAGAAAGAAAGAAAATACATGTAACATATTTCACATTTCTGCACTTTCACCTTTTATGTAAATCTGTGGAAGATTTGATGAGGAGTAAATGAACCTATTTCTTCTACTCACATACCAAGGACACACTTGTGGTTAAAGTGAGTTGATAATGTGGTGTAAGGATGATTGTCCCCAACTCATTTCTTTGTGATCTCTAATGAAAAATACATTTTGTATAGGGTTAATTCTGTAAACAGATGCATGTTTATAAGATCTATAATGGTCTTGTAATCTTAATCTAGTATATTTTAGATATTTTAATTTTTCCCTCTTGGGAAATACATTTAGTATAGTGTAGAAAAATACTTCATGACATTTTCATATAAGGTTAGATAACTTTTCATACATAAACATGAAATTTGTTGTAGATAATTCTTTAAATGAAACATTTAATCTAGAAATCCAATTTAATATATTCCCCGAATCTATTTTTATATGACCAGTGAGAATATATCCCCAAAAATTCATTGCTAATCCAGCAATAAAAATAATTTGAGTACTGATAAACTTCTTGGAGTACATATATATAAAATCACAAAACTTGTATTCATTCTCTTCTGTGATATGTTGTTCTATAGTCCAGAATAGCTTTTGCACCATTTTTTAAACCAGTTTTCCCCTTTGATGTTGGTACCAGAGTTGCTATAAATGACTACTGCTTTAGGGGTTAAATATTTTGTTAGTGGAGATACAACCAAAACACTAAATTATGATAAAACTTTCTGACTGGATAATAGGTATATGTCACCTGGTGGCATATTGCAAATGTGGAAAAACTGTGTTTTCCTCAAATAGAAAACTGGAAGGTTAAGCGACATCAGGCCTTAAAGTAGGTTAGGAACCTGTAGAGCCTCCTTGAAAAGCTTGTTAGAGGTTTTTTTTTTTTTTTTTTTTTTTTTCATATGGGGATGTGCCTGGTGTCTGGTTTTAAATCAGTGGTGGCGTGGTGGCTTCTCTGTAGTAGTTTGGAGCTAAATATCTGGACAATCCAGTTGAACAAAGTGTGCCCTAGCATCCTAATCTCTAACAGCCCTGATTAAAACACATTTATTTTCTGGGTGATTTAGAGGCAGTCCTCCCTCAGCTAATTCTACTTTGTGAGACTGAACTATTTCCAAGGCATTGGAAACTCTTCTACGTTGCGGCTTAGAAGTGCAGCGCTACCCAACAGGTGAGATGCCTTGATACCGTCCACATAGTTAAACACAAATGGAGATTGTGTGCGAAGGTTAAAGGCAAAGTGCTCAATTTCAAGAAGATACTGGAGAAACTAGGCTTCTCTAAGTATGACATATTGAAGTTGACAAGAAAAAACATTTGTACACACAGTGCCCAGCTTCCAATTCTCTAAACAAATCAAGCCCAAGGAGCAAAGTTATACAGAGGCCTGTTCCTAGGTCTAAGAATTAACAAAGACCACATGGGACTTCACAGCACAGGGAATCTGGCGGCAGGTTCCCACACAGATCCCAGGAGGACGCACCATGCTGTCTCCCGCACCTCACCCTCTGCTCCTCCCCATCTGGAGACAGCATTCCCTCGCTCACCATGTTGTGGTTCCTCAGGTCGCCAAAGCTCTCAGCTCATCAATTTCCAGCACACGAAACCACTGAAAACAGCGTCTCTGCGAAGCCGACTTGGAACTTGGCTTCCCGGAAGAGCCCTGCACTGTTGCTGACTGGCAGGTCACCTGGACGGCCTGATTGGCTAGTGCAGTCTGAATGACAAGCACACTGTCCACAGGGCTACAGTGTGCTTAAATACTCAGTACAGTGGTTCCTGACCATTCCTCTCACCCCATTCAAAGATCTTTTCTAGATAGGCCAAGGTAAGCATTTCAATAGCACTAGCCCTTGGCTACAAAAGCAGACAATGTCACAATCTTTTTTTTTTTTGTTTTTTTTGTTTTTTGTTTTTTCCAGACAGGGTTTCTCGGTGGCTTTGGAGCCTGTCCTGGAACTAGCTCTTGTAGACCAGGCTGGTCTCAAACTCACAGAGATCCACCTGCCTCTGCTTCCCGAGTACTGGGATTAAAGGCGTGCGCCACCATCGCCTGGCTGACAATGTCACAATCATGTACTCCATAGGAACTTTCCCTTTTTCCTCCAGGACACAATGTGGCTAGCTGGCTTGTACTATGCACTGTGCTTATCTAGGTTGGTGGAGTGATTTCCTGTCCCAGAGGGAAAAATATTAAGAGCTGAAGAGAATTTTAAGGTCACGAAAGAAGATGATTGTCATGGTGTTGAAAGTGAGCACTGCCACCAAGCAGCTAAAGGTGGTCCTATCATCTCAAATTATACAGATTAATGGAGGTTTTCCCATTTAAAAACCGTTAAGTAAAATCTCTCTCAGGCATAATCAATTTTTAGGTAATCCCAGAGGTAGTCAGTTTTACTACCCAAAATCACGATCTCAACAGCCAAGAGAGAAGAAATGAGAAAATATACTTGCCTGCAGGAGGCACAAAGTGCATGGGAGTTATTTTCAAAACACTGTTTTTCGCCGGGCAGTGGTGGCGCACGCCTTTAATCCCAGCACTCGGGAGACAGAGGCAGGCGGATCTCTGTGAGTTCGAGACCAGCCTGGTCTACAGAGCGTGTTCCAGGACAGGCTCCAAAGCCACAGAGAAACCCTGTCTCGAAAAAAAAAAAAAAACAGTGTTTTTCCTCAACAAAGGAAGCATGGGGATTTTACTTAGGGAGTCTGAACATGCTCATGTAATGTTCTCTCTTTCTTTAAGCATGCTCACTTAACAAATCCACTTCTGAACATGATCACATTGTAAAAACAGAGATATTTTGGGGGCATTCTTACCTCAAAGTCATGTAGGAACATAAGTTATCACTGGTGCTTTAAATCTTAGCCATTCTTACTATTCTAAGATGCTATCTCAGAGTCATTTTGATTTACATTTTCATGATTACTAAGGATGTGGAACATTTCCTTAAGTGTCTCTTAGACTCTTGAGATTCTGCTGTTGAAATTTCTCTATTTAGATTTGTATCCTACTTTTATTTGGAATATTTGGAATTTGATGTCTAATATCTTGAGTAGTTTATATATTTTGGAGATCAGTCTTTTGTCTGCTCTGGGGTTGGGAAGATCTTTACCCATTCATTGTGATGCCTTTTTATCTTATTGACTGTGTCCTTTGCATTACAGAATTTTCTCAGTTTCAGAAGGTCCCGTTTGTTTATTGGTACTCTCAGTGTCTGTGCAATTGATGCTATATTTAGACAGTAGTTTCCTATGCCCATGCTCTGAAGGCTACTTCTTGCCAGAAGCAAAGGCCTGTAATTTGAGATCTGCGTTTTTGTTACAGCCATCTTAAGCTCACAAATTAAGAAAAATATCTACCTCTATCCCCTCTGCAGGGTCCAGGAAATCAACCTGGTATCTTATCTCCTAGCAGAGACCTGCAGGCACCAGGCTCTGGAACCTATTAGCATTTTCCTTGGTTAGTCAACAATCACAGACCCTCAGTATATACTTATCAGCTAGGGATGTCTCCAGACATGAATTCCAGCAAACCTGAGTTTCCTGACACCCTTCCCTTCCCCCTTTGCCTGTTTGCTATATAATAGCATCTGAGAAAGAATAAACAGAATGGCTTGATCAAAAAATCCTGTCTTGCTGTCATTTCTCATGTCTCTTGTCTCCTTTCATTCCTCTCCACTAGGTTTATCAGGGACCCCCGTTCGTATCCCGCAGGCTGGGATAACTTCCCACTTTCTCCTCTACTGTATTCACCGTGGCCAGATCCGTATTGAGTTATTTAATCCATTTGGACTTGAGTTTGTGCGTGGGGAGAGATATGGATCTACTTGCATTCTTTTTCATTTTGATATCCACTTATTCCAGCACCATTTGTTGAAGATGCTTTCATTTTTCCATTGTATAGTTTTAGCTTCTTTGTCAAAAATTAAGTGTTCAGGGCTGGAGAGATGGCTCAGTGGTTAAGAGCACTGCCTGTTCTTCCAAAGGTCCTGAGTTCAATCCCCAGCAACCACATGGTGGCTCACAACCACCTGTAATGAGATCTGGTGCCCTCTTCTGGCCTGTATACTTAATAAATAAATAAATCTTTAAAAAAAATCAGGTGTTCATAGGTCTGTGGATTCATATCTGAACCTTTGTTTTGATTCCATTGGTCAACCTGTCTACTTCTATGCCAATACAATCTGTTTTCATTACTGTAGCTCTATAATCCAGGTTTATGTTAAGAATGGTGATACTTCCAGAAGTTCCATTACTGTACAGGATATTTTGGTTATCTTTGGTGTTTTATTTTACACTGTTTTGTTTTCTGATTTGAATTTGAGTAGTGTGCTTTCAAGGTCTGTGAAGAATCATGTTGAAATGTTTTAAATTATTTGTGGCTATTGTAAATGGTGATGCTCCTCTGATTTCTTTCTCAGCATCTTTATTATTTGTTTGTTGTTGTTGTTGTTGTTTTTGTTTTTGGGGTTTTTTTTTGAGACATGCTTTCTCTGTGGCTTTGGAGCCTGTCCTGGAACTAGCTCTGTAGACCAGGCTGGTCTCGAACTCACAGAGATCCAGCTGCCTCTGCCTACTGAGTGCTGGGATTAAGGGCGTGTGCCACCATCGCCCGGCTCTTCTATATTATTTGTATATAGGAGTGCTACTCATTTTTTGAGCTCATCTTGTTTCCTGTCACCTTACTTAAGTTATTTATGGATTGTAGGAATTCCCTGATAGAGTTTCTGGCATCACTTATGTATACTATCATATCATCTGTGAATAGCAAAAGCTCAACGTTTTCCTTTCCAGTTTGGATTCCCATGATCTTCTTTAGTTTTCTTTTGCATATGTAGTATCCATATCAAACTCCTGTGTGCATACACTAGGCAGCTTTTTTGGGGGGGGGAGGGAGGGTTTCGAGACAGCGTTTCTCCATAGCTTTTTTGTTCCTGTCCTGGAACTAGCTCTTGTAGACCAGAATGGCCTCGAACTCACAGAGATCCGCCTGTCTCTGCCTCCCGAGTGCTGGGATTAAAGGCGTGTGCCACCACTGCCCGGCTCTAGGCCCATTTTAAAAGCTGGATGAGCCATCTTCCTCCCTCTCTCTACACACTGACTTCTGAGGCCTGTGCACACCCCTTCTAATAAACTCCGAAGAGTGTTCGCTGTGTGTTCTCTGTTTCTTTCTTGTTAAGAAAAAAACCCAAGAAGGCGCAGCTCTGCCAGCACAAAGAAGTCCAATTAAGTGAAATGAAACCAAATCAAAATGCCCATTATTTTATTAAATACAGTGCTCTCTGGTGGCTGAGCACATGTGGGGGAGACAGGACAACGGGGAGCCCATGCAAACCCAGAACAATGTGTTTCTCCTCTAGGAACCCACCTAAAGGCACTGTGGGAGTGGTCCCGACCTCTCCACAGGGACAGGTCAGGACCTGGAATGCTGGGATTTAGAGTCCAGGATAATGCAATTCCCAGACCAGAGGGGCTGGGATGGATGCCAGGGGCTGGAGGCTAAGGTCCAGACTTAACACTTCTCACTTGTACCAAGTAATTTCTGTGACCCACTGTCAAATGTTCAGTTTTTCTTTTTTTTTTAATATTTATTTATTTATTATGTATACAATATTCTGTCTGTATGCCTGAAGGCCAGAAGAGGGTGCCAGACCTCTTTACAGATGGTTGTGAGCCACCATGTGGTTGCTGGGAATTGAACTCAGGACCTTTGGAAGAGCAGGCAATGCTCTTAACCACTGAGCCATCTCTCCAGCCCCCAAGTTTTTCTCAGTGAATTGAATTAATGGCATGTGCTTGCATATTTTTGATTGATATTTATTGAGCTCTACATTTTTCTCTGCTCCTCTTCCTGTCTCTCCCCTCCCCCCTTCAGTCGTCCCCTAAGATCCTCATGCTCCTAATTTACTCAGGAGATCTTGTCTTTTTCTACTTTCTAATTCCCATTTAGATTAGATCTATGTAAGGCACTCTTCGCATCCATATTGTTGTCTAAGTTCTCTGAATTTGTGGTTTGTAGGCTGGAATTCTTTGCTTTATGTTTGAAAACCACCTATGAGTGAGTACATGTGATAATTGTCTTCCTGTACCTGGGTATGTTATTCAGGTTTCTTCTTTTCCTGGGTTGTGTAATTTTTTTGTTTGTAGACTATATAGCAGCTGTGGCCTTCTGCCTAGTCAGACTGCTCAGAGCAAAAACAGCTTTCTCTGAGATTAATAGAGATCATCATAACTGTTCCTCCAGAAGCATTGTATATAGGGCTGTTAGGTAACTTTTCCTTGAAGTTTTCTGGTTTTGTGTCCCCTTCTTTTGTGTTTGTGAAAATTATGGTGTTGGCAAAGTTATCTTTTAGAATAAGCATCAAGATTGATAGTCGACTTTTCACAGTGTCATCCTCTTGATTTTCAAGCGAGACCTTAATGGTACAGTATGAACATGCCAGAGACATTTCTTTCCATCATTTGTCTAATATACATTTGTTCCTACATAATATTGAGGTTAGAATATCCCTAAATGTCTTTGCTATTACACTGTGATAAGTGGATTTGTTAACT